CCTGTGGGATCGATATCTAGGACTCCATTAGAGCCATATATTACTTGAGTGATACGTATAATTGTGTTGATAAGTGTGACTTTACAATTATTGAATATTTATTACGTCCATATTTATCTTATATTTTAAGCATATAAAAAGTCGCGGTCACCCTAGTAACATCAATGAGACTAGTTGTAGGAAGCAGGCGAGCAACAATGAAGTAATGCTTTAATGCTCGGAATGGGTGATGGGATTCAAATAAGTCAAAGGAGAATTTACAAGTGTCTCTCCCTCCTCTTCAGAAAGAACCTTCCACTGATTGATATCCTCAGTTAGAAAAGAAATAATCTTATGATAATCAGGAGTAAGAAAACGCTCGGAGTCACACTAGGGCATGTCGAGGAGATCAAAATGGCTCTTTCTGGTGGAAGAGTCAAAGAGAGCCAACTTCCCTCACACATAAACCTTTCCATCCACGGATTATTTTGCATTTGTGTATAACTCACAGATGAGTGAGAAAATACGAGTGTCGACGAGTTAACACAAAATTCTCATCCTTGCCTATCGATCTCCACAGCGATCCTCTCATTCAAAAATTTAAAAACCCACTCTAGAATCAACTTTTTTTTGTACTAAAATGTTCTTATACCATTATGCAGTAGCATGGCTAATAAATCTTGTCCGATCGAATCTTCATCCGTCTTTTTTATTGGTTTTTTATGCCATAATCAGAAAAAAATCTTGGTTTAAGTGAGGAGGATGAAAAAAATTAAGATTTGTTGGCAGGAAACGAAGGATTGTTGGAAAAATCAACTCAAGATTGATGAAAAACCATGTCCACAAGAAAAGATGAAAATGTATATGGAAAATGGGCAAACCTTTGAGAAGGAAGGAGAGAAAGAAAATTAAAGTTTAGCAAGAACATAACCAAACCTAAGGATCTTAGCCTAATCTATACAAATAAGGTTGTATCTGGTGGTCATAATACTTCTCCAACAAACTAGGAAGCTAAGGAGGCTATGGATAGCTTGTGTAAGCTGAGAAAGTGGAAGAAGTGTCGTGAAAAAGGGTATCTAAGGCCTTAAATTGTCAGTGACATGGTCACATGAGGTTCTAAGGTGGTCTTGCTACACTTTCTTGTGATCATACCTAAAATTGGGTCTAAGCGACATGATCACGCCGGAATTGGGCATGATCATGCCCCAGGTCCGTCTACTCCTTATAGGAACCGGCCGTCAACAGTGACAAACTTATGACAAATAAATATTCAATCCAGATGTAGACTCCAAAAATGGAAATAATATAAGAAATTATGTGAAATAAATCAAATCATATGATAATGCTTGGGTTTCCTCCTAAGAAAAGTTTTGTTTAACGTCCTCAGTTAGATGAAGTTTCCTCAATCCAGCCTAAATGAGGTCTCCAGGATCAAATTGCCAATTTAGCAGTACTTGATCACTCATCTCAAATTCAGGTTGTCCTAGATCCTTCCAACATCCTAAAGTAATGTATTTCTTCCAAATTCTTCCCACGTGTATCAATTATCTCTTATCCAAAAATTGAGGTTTTGCAGTAACATCTCATTTCCATTCATAAAATAATCAGTGCTCATAAAGGATAGACAAAGGGGTTCTCCTAACAGATCTTGGCCTACTGGCTAGACTTCTACTTCAGGATGAGCAACATAATCATTAATCAGATTATCCAAAATTCATCTATTATCATTTTCTTGTCAAGGGTCACTTCCTTTGATTCTAAAGATTGGCTCTGTACTTCCCGTGCCACCACTTCTACTTTATGGTTTTGATCATTCCTAGAGGCTTGGGGAAGGTCTCGTGATATTAAAATACTAAATGTGACTTCTTGATCATACTCTCTCAAAAATATGTTCCCCTTCTAAACATCAATAATAGCCCTGCTAGTAGCTAAGAAAGGTCTCCCAAAAATCACATGCATTTCCTTATCTTCTTTCAAGTCCAACATCATAAAATATGCAGGAAAAGTGAATTTGTCCATTATGATAGGCAAATTTTCAACCAGTTCTAGAGGATGAGCCACAGATTGATCCTCTAGCTGAAGCGTGAGACTGTTTGGCTTAATTTTTCCCCTTCCAAGTTGCTTGAAAATATTTAGGGGCATGAGATTAACACTAGCTCATAAGTCAAAAAGCGCTTTTAATATGAAACTTAATTCCTAGAATGTACAAAATGATGAAACTACTAGGAACTTTGTTGGCCTTCTGTAGCCTTTGGGTGAATGGGGTGAAAGTCTCTTAGTAGGGTCAATCTTATTGGCAGAGGAAACTTTTCCTTAGTCAGGCTTCACAAGGGTGCTATCATTCTTGTTGTTTGCTCATCTTTTTTCTCTAGCCTTCACTCTCACTACCTTTCACTGCTCTAAACTTTGATCTTTCCAATTCACCTCAGTATTACTAGATAGTGTCCCAAGGGTTTTATTGTTCATTGAGTTCACCAACTGTCCAATGTGAGTTTCAATATTTTTTTATGGTGACATCTTGGCTCTGTAAAGTATTCCTTATTTGAATTAATATTTCATTAATAGGTGATTTCTTTTGGCCATGCTGGGAATTGGCTTAGAATCCTAGTGGGTACCGCTTGCCTTTGTTGCTTATTACCTTGGTTTGGTCAGTTTCCTACCAAGTTGTTTTGAGGATTTCCCCCATTGATGGTTGTTATTTTTCCATGAGAGGCTTAGATCTTTTCTCCAACATGGGTTGCTGGTGTTAGAATAGGGGTTATGACCATGGTTTTGTATGACATTCACGGTTTCTAAAGTTTGTATGCTTTGTTCTACCACTAGTCCATTCATGAAGCCATCATTGGGTGGAAGTCCTTGCATAAAATTCATCCCCAGATTATCTAACTTTCTAGAAATAGCAACTACTTGAGTCGCACGGATAGCTAATACATCTGATTCATGTATGCTAGCTAATTTCTGGGATGCGACTCTCTTAGAAAGTCATTGTAAATTGTTTGTGGTCATTTCTTTTATCAAATGGTATGCTTCCTCAAAAGGCTTAGACATTAATGAACCTCCTGCAACAACATCTATTATGGACCTCAATAAACATACCAATCCATTGTAAAAGATTTAAATGATTAGCCAATCAGAAAAGACATGGTGTGAGCACTTCCTAAGCAAGTCTTTAAATCTCTCTCATGCATCATAAATGGATTATCCATCATTTTTAGTGAATGAGATGATATAATTTTTAAGTTTTGTAATATTTGATGGAGGAAATTATTTTGCTAGAAACATTGAAGCTAAGTCATTCCAGGTTGTGATTGATCCTAGGGCAAGTGAGTTAAGTCACACCTTAGCTTTATCCCTCAAAGAGAAAGGGAAAAACCTAAGTCTAATGGCATTGCTGGTGGCACCGTTGTACCAGAAGATGACACAGTTCAAGAAAATTGTCTAAGTGCATATTCGAGTTCTTAGAAGATAGTCCCCCAAATTTATTTGGACCATTTAAATTATGGAAGGTCTCAACTCAAGGTGTTAGCCTCAACAGTGTGGTAATTGATAATCATATGGATTTCCTCAATATAAGGGCTAGCATATTCCCTCAGTATTTTCATGATGAAAGTGTTGGAATCGGCCATCTCTATGGGTGTCTCAATGAGTGAACATGTTCTCCTAAGTCATTTGAAAGTACGATCTAACTGAGGGTCAAAAGGGTCGAGATTAGCCTCAGCTCCCTTATGCAAAAAAGAAAAAACTAAATAAAAATTTGCAACAAATAATCACAATGATCCACACGTGTCAACCAACAAGCATACATGCAATGCACATATAATATGAAAAAGAGAAGGAACAAATTCATTAACAATTTTTTTTGGCCTTTTGGCTTTATAATTTTTTTTTCAGCACCTACAAGAAAACACAACATCGATACAGATGCAATTAAAAAAATAATAATAAAATAAAATAAACATGAAAATAAAAGTGTCAAACTTAGATCCTAAGCCTATCAACTAAAGCTTTCCTAAAATCAAAATATTTATTAATGCTTATTCTGGAAAACAACGCCAAAAATGTGACGCGCCAAAACATAACGCAAAGTAAGTTGGTTGTACATAAGACTGTCAAAACATCTCGTTGTTCGCGAACAGCTCGTGTTCAGCTCGTTAAGAAGCCCGTGTTCGGCTCATTAATTTCGTTTGATAAGTTAACGAGCCGAACACGAACTAAAATGTGTTCATTCGTGTTTAGCTCGTTTTGGCTCGAAATACTACTCATCAAGTTTATATATAT